TCTCTATCTATCTATCTATCTATCTATCTCTATCTCTCTAGACCACCACTCTCTCTCTCTCTCTCTCTCTCTCTCTCTCTCTCTCTCTCTCTCTCACACACACACACACACACCCACACCCACACCCACACACACACACCCACACCCACCCACACACCCACACCCACACACACCTACACACCTTCCAGTACCTCCGCATCTGCATTGCCGATGGTAAAAAACTGCTTATTCCACTAATTCTTCAAAGAAAAAAAGTCAGGAAACGAAGGAGGGGAAAAAAAAAAAAACAGTGGGCAAAGGTTACTGCACACAAGCTGAGAGCGCGAAAAAAGCTCAGCCGAGTGGCATGGGACAGAACTCAGAAGAAGCGCAAGTGCTGGCTGACCTACCCAGCTAGCGATACCCGGGTTGTCATGGACCACTGGTAGAAAAAATGATATCAGACATCATGAATGAGATCTTACAAATGGCATCAGTTACATGTAGACCGAGGACAAGACTACGTGGCTGACGATCGCTGCTGCTGTTGGTATTATCGAACAACTAAGAAGCCTTCCCGTCACGACTCTGCAAAACACAGAAGAGGCATGAATGAATCCACTGAGTAGAAGAACCAACGGAGCAAAGAAAAGGCCGGGGGAGTTTGAGAGAAGGGAGTCATGAATGGGGCCTCCCTCCACTACTCAATGTTGAACATGTACCTGGACTGTAAAATATCCAGGTACAGGTGGACTGATCCAAAGATTTGAAGAATGCATCGGAAACATTAGCCATCGTGTACTAGAACTGGAATCTACTCAGTTGGGCATCCGCTTCCGCCAGATCCTTCTGCGCCTTCTTTCGCCGATAGAAGATCGGGCAATCGCGGCTGGTACATAGGACATCCTGGTGTAGACTTCCTTGACATCGCTGGCACTGCGTCCAGAGTCGACCAAATGTCTCTTCGAGGTCACGCACCTTTGTGACGCACTTGTGATAGAGTTCCACCTCCCGCCCCTGGCAGTGGCTGCAGAGCGTGTTGTCCTCGTCGGCAAGGGGTGCTTTGCAGCCCATACAACTTCTGCGTTTCTTTGCGTATTTCATCATGCCGCCGACTGACGGGGTGGCTATGGACACCGAGCGGGTGTGATCGCCGTGCAAGAGCTCCTTGCTCGCGTTTTTCAAGATGGGGTCAAATATCCTCAGCAGCGGCTTGCTGAGTTGATTTTCGAGGTAATGCTGTGCATCGATGGGGATGTTGTTTTCGAGAACGTAAATAGGGTCTTCTGATTTCTCGTAACCCTTGGCACCTTTGGCGGCCTTGATAATGACGTATGGCACCCGATCGCCCACGCTGGGAGCAGTCGCCGGATCCCTCTTGCGCATCCTCTCGGCCAACTCCCCGTGCGCAGACTTGACCTGGTAATCTTCTCCTGTTTTGGTCAGTCCCTTTGTGATGACCAACAAGGACAGATCCATTCTGTTCATCAAAAGGTCGGTGATTGTGTTCTTGACGTACTGCACCGCGCCCGGGATATCTCGCTCGATGAGTATCTTGTGCAAGCATTCGTTAACAAGGTTTTTCACCAGCATGCAGTTATCCCGCCTCACGGTCTCAATGCCTTTCGTGTCCATCTTGTCGTACTTCTCCGGCTTCGTCCACAGCAAGCCAGCGTAGCGCTTCTTGCTGATGAGCAGGTATGGGTAATAAACCTTCTCAAACTCCAATCTGATGGGCTTCGGGAAGGTGCTGCTAATGAAGTCGGCAGCTTCTTTTCCCAGCTTCATCGCGTCCTCGATGCACGAAACGCCAAACTTCACCATAACCGAGTCAGTGTCACCGTATATTACCTCGGCGTCGTGTTCGCAGCCGTTGCCGATGCAGTAGCGCTCCTGTACCAGCTTTTTGGTGTGCATGATCATCTCGCGGCCGTACCCTGTGACAGACGCCGAGATTTCAAGACACGGGAGCTTGCCGATCGTAGCGCCAGTGAAGCCGTAAACTGAGTTCGCACTGATCTTAAGTGCCAGTTGACGCCCATCTAGCACGGCCTTCTCGAGCGGATCCGTGGCAAGTTTCAGATCAGCCTTGGCTCTCTTCCTGGCAGCAAGAAGCTCTTCAAGAATCTCCGGCAAGATTCCCTTCTCAAGATGAGGCTTGACAAAGATGTCGCCTGTGGGCGTCTTCTCAACGGACTCTAGGGGCAAAGAGGAGACGTCTTCCTTCCGCACAAGAGTGCAGTAGCAGAGGTTATGGGCCATCATGATAGAGGGGTACAGGGAAGCAAAGTCAAGGGTAGCGATCGGCTTCTCGTAGAAGCCCTGATTAGCCTCGAGCACTGTGGCACCCTCATAGGAGGAGTCCTGGCTGCCCCCCTGAACCTTAAGCGCCGGAACGACCATTCCGCGCTGCCGGGCTTTTCTCAGAATCTGAGACATCACCTTGATACTCTGGCCGCGTGCAAGCAGAAAGGAGAATGGCACCCCGGTTACTCTCGCCATCTCTATGTAATTGTACATGTACATCAGCTTGTCGACTAGCCTCTGAGGCAGATAAGCATCTTTGAGACAATAAACAGCCAGTCTCCTTCGGGTCTCCGGCGTGCCGTTCTGGAGATCGGAGATGATAGAATGGTGTACATCCTCCTTTTGTTCCCCCAAGAAGTGCGCGGACACAGCATTCAGAGAATACGAGCTGAGTTTGTAGTCGCGCTGCATGGCCTGGAGGACGTCGAACTGCACTCGTCCTTCGATCGTCACCTCCTTGCTCTCACGTGTCCCATACGCTTTGGAAGAGAACGTCGTGTCGCGCATGCGAAGCTTGCTGAAACGTATCCTCCCCAGGAAAGGGAATTCGTTGATCTTCAACGTTTGCGCTCTGTCGATCAGATAGGGCAAGTCGAAGTTGCAGATGTTATAGCCTATCATTAGGTCAGGATCCACCTCACGAATGAGGTCTCTCCACGCCAGCAGCAGATCTCTTTCCGTCTCAAAGGACATGACTTCCGCTCCAACTATCGGCGAGCACTGCTTCAGTGTCAGCACATTCCGCACGAGCGGTCTTTGCTCTCCTTGCAAGGTCACCAAGCTGGCTATGGTGATAACAGGATCGTGCTCGGGCTCGGGAAAATGTCCCTTCCGTCCAGCGCACTCAATGTCGAAGCTGAGAATCCGCACAGGTGCCAACTTTCCATACCGCCCTGCCGACGGGTGACTTATGATTTTATCATACATCACATCCACTTCATACTGGCAATAAGAAAGCTGCTGGGACTTGAACCGGTAACTTCCTGGCGGCAGCTCCACCCAGCTACCCCCGCCGATGTTGCAATCAATCATAAAGCGTAGTGCAAACAACACGTTGCTCTCGAACGTCGTGAAACTCTGATATCCCAGGCCGCTGATCTGGATGCCTCGCTCCAGGATGTCTCTGCAGGCCGCCACGTAAGCGGGCAGCGTCATCACAATCTTCAAGAAGGTCCGTTGCTTGGTTTTCTGGAAATAGAGAAGGCTTTGGCGAGTGACCATTGAGACTGCCGCTACAAAAACGGAACAGCCGTGCTTCGCCTTGTTGTGTTCCCGCATCAGGTCATTCAACAAGCGTCGGAACGATTCCACATCATCAGGCCCGAATCCCGGTGGGCATGTGATGTAGAAGTACGGCTCAAATCCGTGCACAAGAGCGCACACGCTGTTCCCATTCTCCGTCACACCAAACATACGGATGATAGCAGCTTGACCGCGGCTTGGGAGCCATTCTTTGTCAGCCTCTCCGACAACATAGTCAATATCCAGCTGCTGGAACAAAATGGAGTCCTTGGTTCGGTCAGTGGGCGGCAGCTGGGGACGCCGCCACTTGGCCATCCTCTCAGCCACCTCTCGCCCTTCCTCGGCCATCTCTGCATCGCGGAGCAAAGTCTCTTCCAAAAAAACATCCTCGTCGTAATCATCTTCTTCCTCCAGATGTCTCTGCGGTGGCATGGAAGGTGGAGGACCGCCACCCCTCCCATTACCGTAACTCGCCGACACCCCATTGTTGTTGCTACTGCTGTAGGGTCTCTTCTGGGGCGGACCGGCCCCTCCCCCCTGCTGTTGTTGCTGCTGACCGTAAGCTGCCCGACGCTTATTACCATCCATACTAAAGCAACACAGAACCCGACAACCAACACAAGGACGGGCAGCAGCAGGAGGAGGAGGAGCATAGAACAGAACTAGCATGCCCCCATGGGAGCAAAGCCAGCACCCAAAAAAAAAAAAAAAAAACGATTCAAGTTTTCAACAGAAAATGGTTCCCAATGTAAGATTCATATGCTATCTATGACGTGTTAAACAGTTGATATGAACTGCAATGTGTGAAAGACAGGGAACAGAAAACAGAGCATTCGTCGACTTCTGACATTAAGGGGGGGAGGCACCAAAGTCGTTCTGAGAAAGCCTAGGTTACCAGGGTGTCCAGGCCCAGATGCCTGGGCTTACTCTGAACATCCGGAAATCCCCCACAGCCAATTTTGTATAAATATCGACGCAATTTTCAGTTGACTAATTGTATTTGCATTTTCTTTGATCCCTGATTGTCTCCTTCTAGAATGCTTGATACCCGACCATGATCTGCTGATGATAAGTGGCTGGGAGAGTGGAGGAAAGCAAGACCTTTCTGCTCTCTCTCTCTCTCTCTCTCTCTCTCTCTCTCTCTCTCCTGTCTCTTATACACATCTAGATGTGTATAAGAGACAGCTATCATCCTGAATCATCCTAAATGCTCCTCGAT